CTCGCTGTAACAATACCCTGGTTGTAACAGTACCCTGCTGTAACAACACACTGGCTGTAACACCCTGGCTGTAACAGTACCCTGGCTGCAACAATATCCTGGCTGTAACAATACCCTGGCTGTAACAGTACCCTGGCTGTAACAATATCCTGGCTGTAACAGTACCCTGGCTGTAACAGTAACCTGGCTGTAACAGTAACCTGGCTGTAACAGTAACCTGGCTGTAACAATACCCTGGCTGTAACAATACCCTGGCTGTAACAGTACCCTGGCTGTAAGAATACCCTGGCTGTAACACCCTGGCTGTAACACCCTGGCTGTAACAATACCCTGGCTGTAACAGTGTGTGTACTCACCTATTTATGGTTGCAAGGGTCGAGTCACGGCTCCTCTGTGTTACCAACGGCTGTTATTTTTTCCATTTATTTAGGCCTAATATACCTTGAGTTAAGATTACCTTCTGGTATAACCAAGATTAGTTATCTCTCAGGCACTAAGTGGGTTATTTACCTCGGTTATCTTGTTATTACTGATAACAAGGACCTGTTGGCCAGTTTTGTTACGCAGGGCTCTGTCAGCCACTGTTAAATCGGAATGAGGAGAATAAGGAGAGACCTGGAGCTGTAGTTATATCTCTGATGGTCTGGTCACCTTGCTGGTCTGGTCACCTGGCTGATCTGGTCACCTTGCTGGTCTGGTCGCCTGGCTGGTCTGGTCACCTGGCTGGTCTGGTCACCTTGCTGGTCTGGTCGCCTGGCTGGTCTGGTCGCCTGGCTGCTCTGGTCACCTGGCTGGTCTGGTCACCTGGTTGGTCTAGTCACCTGGCTGGTATGGTCACCTGGTTGGTCTAGTCACCTGGCTGGTCTGGTCACCTCACTGGTCTAGTTACCTGGTTGGTCTAGTCACCTGGCTGCTCTGGTCAAATGGCTGGTCTGGTCACCTTGCTGGTCTGGTCACCTCACTGGTCTAGTCACCTGGCTGGTCTAGTCACCTGGCTGGTCTGGTCACCTGGCTGGTCTGGTCACCTCACTGGTCTAGTTACCTGGTTGGTCTAGTTACCTGGTTGGTCTAGTCACCTGACTGGTCTGGTCACCTGGCTGGTCTGGTCACCTCACTGGTCTAGTTACCTGGCTGGTCTAGTCACCTGGCTGGTCTGGTCACCTGGCTGGTCTGGTCACCTGGCTGGTCTGGTCACCTGGCTGGTCTGGTCACCTGGCTGGTCTGGTCGCCTCACTGGTCTAGTTACCTGGTTGGTCTAGTCACCTGGCTGGTCTGGTCATCTGGCTGGTCTAGTCACCCGCCTGGTCTGTTCACCTGGCTGGTCTAGTCAATAGACTCTGGTGTACTGTCATGTACTCTGGTGTACTGTCATGTACTCTGGTGTACTGTCATGTACTCTGGTGTACTGTCATGTACTCTGGTGTACTGTCATGTACTCTGGTGTACTGTCATGTACACTGGTGTACTGTCATGTACTCTGGTGTACTGTCATGTACACTGGTGTACTGTCATGTACTCTGGTATACTGTCATGTACTCTGGTGTACTGTCATGTACACTGGTGTACTGTCATGTACACTGGTGTACTGTCATGTACACTGGTGTACTGTCATGAACTCTGGTGTACTGTCATGTACTCTGGTGTACTGTCATGTACACTGGTGTACTGTCATGTACTCTGGTGTACTGTCATGTACTCTGGTGTACTGTCATGTACTCTGGTGTACTGTCATGTACACTGGTGTACTGTCATGTACACTGGTGTACTGTCATGTACTCTGGTGTACTGTCATGTACTCTGGTGTACTGTCATGTACACTGGTGTACTGTCATGTACTCTGGTGTACTGTCATGTACTTCTGGTGTACTGTCATGTACACTGGTGTACTGTCATGTACACTGGTGTACTGTCATGAACTCTGGTGTACTGTCATGTACTCTGGTGTACTGTCATGTACTCTGGTGTACTGTCATGTACTCTGGTGTACTGTCATGTACTCTGGTGTACTGTCATGTACACTGGTGTACTGTCATGTACACTGGTGTACTGTCATGTACTCTGGTGTACTGTCATGTACTCTGGTGTACTGTCATGTACTCTGGTGTACTGTCATGTACTCTGGTGTACTGTCATGTACACTGGTGTACTGTCATGTACTCTGGTGTACTGTCATGTACACTGGTGTACTGTCATGTACTCTGGTGTACTGTCATGTACTCTGGTGTACTGTCATGTACTCTGGTGTACTGTCATGTACTCTGGTGTACTGTCATGTACTCTGGTGTACTGTCATGTACTCTGGTATACAATACGGTACAGATGTGACATGGCCGTGACAAAGGCACACCTTCCTGGACTCTCTCAGCCTGGACAATTTGCTATGGTATATTGAGCTCGGTATACACTGATACCAAGGTTTGTGAGTAATGAAGTTAGTTATGAGTTGACTTTTGTACTGCAGTCAGGTCCTGGTACACTGGAGGCAGACTGGTGTACTGGAGTCAGGTCCTGGTACACTGGAGGAAGACTGGTGTACTGGAGTCAGGTCCTGGTACACTGGAGGCAGACTGGTGTACTGGAGTCAGGGTCTGGTACACTGGAGGCAGACTGGTGTACTGGAGTCAGGTCCTGGTACACTGGAGGCAGACTGGTGTACTGGAGTCAGGTCTTGGTACACTGGAGGCAGACTGGTGTACTGGAGTCAGGTCCTGGTACACTGGAGGCAGACTGGTATACTGGAGGCAGGGTCTGGTACACTGGAGGCAGACTGGTGTACTGGAGTCAGGTCCTGGTACACTGGAGGCAGACTGGTGTACTGGAGTCAGGTCCTGGTACACTGGAGGCAGACTGGTGTACTGGAGTCAGGTCCTGGTACACTGGAGGCAGACTGGTGTACTGGAGTCAGGTCTTGGTACACTGGAGGCAGACTGGTGTACTGGAGTCAGGTCCTGGTACACTGGAGGCAGACTGGTATACTGGAGGCAGGGTCTGGTACACTGGAGGCAGACTGGTGTACTGGAGTCAGGTCCTGGTACACTGGAGGCAGACTGGTGTACTGGAGTCAGGTCCTGGTACACTGGAGGCAGACTGGTGTGCTGGAGTCAGGTCCTGGTACACTGGAGGCAGACTGGTGTACTGGAGGCAGGGTGTGGTACACTGGAGGCAGACTGGTGTACTGGAGTCAGGGTCTGGTACACTGGAGGCAGACTGGTGTACTGGAGTCAGGTCCTGGTACACTGGAGGCAGACTGGTGTACTGGAGGCAGGGTCTGGTACACTGGAGGCAGACTGGTGTACTGGAGTCAGGTCCTGGTACACTGGAGGCAGACTGGTGTACTGGAGTCAGGTCCTGGTACACTGGAGGCAGACTGGTGTACTGGAGGCAGGGTCTGGTACACTGGAGGCAGACTGGTGTACTGGAGGCACGGTCTGGTACACTGGAGGCAGACTGGTGTACTGGAGTCAGGTCCTGGTACACTGGAGGCAGACTGGTGTACTGGAGGCAGGGTCTGGTACACTGGAGGCAGACTGGTGTACTGGAGTCAGGTCCTGGTACACTGGAGGCAGACTGGTGTACTGGAGGCAGGGTCTGGTACACTGGAGGCAGACTGGTGTACTGAGTCAGGTCCTGGTACACTGGAGGCAGACTGGTGTACTGGAGTCAGGTCCTGGTACACTGGAGGCAGACTGGTGTACTGGAGGCAGGGTCTGGTACACTGGAGGCAGACTGGTTTACTGGAGTCAGGTCCTGGTACACTGGAGGCAGACTGGTGTACTGGAGTCAGGTCCTGGTACACTGGAGGCAGACTGGTGTACTGGAGGCAGGGTCTGGTACACTGGAGGCAGACTGGTGTACTGGAGTCAGGTCCTGGTACACTGGAGGCAGACTGGTACACTGGAGGCAGACTGGTACACTGGAGGCAGGCTGGTGTACTGGAGTCAGGTCCTGGTACACTGGAGGCAGGCTGGTGTACTGGAGTCAGGTCCTGGTACACTGGAGGGAGACTGGTGTACTGGAGTCAGGAACTGGTACACTGGAGGCAGACTGGTGTACTGGAGGCAGGGTCTGGTACACTGGAGGCAGACTGGTGTACTGGAGTCAGGTCCTGGTACACTGGAGGCAGACTGGTGTACTGGAGTCAGGTCCTGGTACACTGGAGGCAGACTGGTGTACTGGAGGCAGGGTCTGGTACACTGGAGGCAGACTGGTGTACTGGAGTCAGGTCCTGGTACACTGGAGGCAGGCTGGTGTACTGAAGTCAGGTCCTGGTACACTGGAGGGAGACTGGTGTACTGGAGTCAGGAACTGGTACACTGGAGGCAGACTGGTACACTGGAGGCAGACTGGTACACTGGAGGCAGACTGGTACACTGGAGGCAGACTGGTACACTGGAGGCAGGTCCTGGTACACTGGAGGCAGGTCCTGGAACACTGGAGGCAGGTCCTGGAACACTGGAGGCAGGTCCTGGTACACTGGAGGCAGGTCCTGGAACACTGGAGGCAGGTCCTGGAACACTGGAGGCAGGTCCTGGTACACTGGAGGCAGGTCCTGGTACACTGGAGGCAGGTCCTGGTACACTGGAGGCAGGTCCTGGTACACTGGAGGCAGGTCCTGGCACACTGGAGGCAGGTCCTGGCACACTGGAGGCAGGTCCTGGCACACTGGAGGCAGGTCCTGGTACACTGGAGGCAGGTCCTGGTACACTGGAGGCAGGTCCTGGCACACTGGAGGCAGGTCCTGGCACACTGGAGGCAGGTCCTGGTACACTGGAGGCAGACTGGTACACTGGAGGCAGGTCCTGGTACACTGGAGGCAGGTCCTGGTACACTGGAGGCAGGTCCTGGCACACTGGAGGCAGGTCCTGGCACACTGGAGGCAGGTCCTGGAACACTGGAGGCAGACGTAAGCATCAATCATGTACGTCTCTGGTCGTCGTGTTATCACATCTTATCACTGTTATCACCAACACGATACTGGGATATTGGCCAGCAGTTGGACCAGCATCACGAGTGAACAGTTAACTTCTGAACAACACAGACGTCTTGAGTCTCTGTTTACCAACAATTTAAATTAGGAATCGATGGGTGTTTGTGGCATTTCAAACAATCTTGGTGGGTTGATACCAAGTGTCAATCTGGAGTAGTCTGTGAGTTACTGGGGTTATAGTTTCTGGTCCATTAGTATCGTGACACTGTGATCCATTGTTGTGAACATCTTGGAGTTTCTTCCAAGGGAGTGGCGCTCGTTTATTCCCTCCCGTCTTCACCCTCCAGGGGATATATTGATTTATACCCAGGTAAGTCTAGTGGGCAGGTGTGCCAACACACTTGTGTGATGGCTAGATAGGTTGTCTCCTGTACTCTCTTGTCCCACGGTGATATCAGTGTGGATCAGTCTAGCTGGTAGTGGTAATGGTATCTGTTGGACATGTGGAAGGTATCCACATAAGACTTTTCAGTGTACCTAACAGCAGTCTGGTCGTTGGGTCGACACCCAGACACCCTTGTCAGTATTTTAGGTAATTAACATCGACAGGTCAATGTTGAACTGTCAGGGGTCCAAGACTGTTCAACTGTGTCCCAGCATACATAAGGGGGATTACCAATAGACAACTGGTTGTGTTCAAGACCCCTGGTTGTCTTCAAGACCCCTGGTTGTCTTCAAGACCCCTGATTGTCTTCAAGACCCCTGGTTGTCTTCAAGACCCCTGATTGTCTTCAAGACCCCTGGTTGTCTTCAAGACCCCTGGTTGTCTTCAAGACCCCTGGTTGTCTTCAAGACCCCTGGTTGTCTTCAAGACCCCTGGCTGTCTTCAAGACCCCTGGTTGTCTTCAAGACCCCTGGTTGTCTTCAAGACCCCTGGTTGTCTTCAAGACCCCTGGTTGTCTTCAAGACCCCTGGTTGTCTTCAAGACCCCTGGTTGTCTTCAAGACCCCTGGTTGTCTTCAAGACCCCTGGTTGTCTTCAAGACCCCTGGCTGTCTTCAAGACCCCTGGCTGTCTTCAAGACCCCTGGTTGTCTTCAAGACCCCTGGTTGTCTTCAAGACCCCTGGTTGTCTTCAAGACCCCTGGTGTCTTCAAGACCCCTGGTTGTCTTCAAGACCCCTGGTTGTCTTCAAGACCCCTGGTTGTCTTCAAGACCCCTGGTTGTCTTCAAGACCCCTGGCTGTCTTCAAGACCCCTGGCTGTCTTCAAGACCCCTGGCTGTCTTCAAGACCCCTGGCTGTCTTCAAGACCCCTGGCTGTCTTCAAGACCCCTGGCTGTCTTCAAGAAGGCACTGGACAGGCACCTAAAGTCAGTACCTGACCAACCGGGCTGTGGTTTGAACGTCGGGTTGCGTGCGGCCAGCAATAACAGCCTGGTTGATCAGACCCTGATCCATCATGGACCTTGGTCACAGACCGGGCCGCGGGGGCGTTGACCCCCCCAAAACCCTCTCCAGGTATACTCCAGGATATCTATACCTGTAGGGTGTTCCGGGTGTCAGGTACCCCGCAGCACGGTCCACGACCTTGGTGGATCAGGGACAGATCAACCAAGTTGTTACTGCTGGCCTCATGCAAACCACAGTAGGACCACAGCCTGGCTGGTCAGGTACTGACTTTAAGTACCTTTAATTCCGTTGATTAAGTAAGATGTACCATTGTCTCTTGGTAATATAAACACGTATGGAGTATAATGTGATCCTTTATTGACAACGTTTCGCCCATATAGTGGGCGAAAGTCACAGATGTACCTGGGGTGGAAGGTACGTGAGTATTTATAGTCAGTACCTTCCACCCCAGGTAGATCTGTTCGTGACTTTCGCCCACTGTGTGGGCGAAACGTAGTCAATAAAGGATCACATTATACTCCATATGTGTTTATATTACCACTGTGTCAGTATTTTATACCATTTATTTCCACCATTGTCTCTCACTGTTTCTTGTAGACCATCGTTATTATCCCAGATTAAACTGGTAAATATCCCAGGATATATAATGGAATATCACCCTGTCAGTATTTGCAGACAGAGGGCTGTCACTTCCTTCTGTCAAGGTGAGTGTGACAGGCTGTCACCTTGCTAGTTTAAAATCTTGACCTCCACAGTTTCTGTCAGTTTGACAGAGGACAAGGATATGCTTGACTGGGTGTACCCTGCCTGGCAGGGTGCAGAGGACAAGGATATGCTTGACTGAGTGTACCCTGCCTGGCAAGGTGCAGAGGACAAGGATATGCTTGACTGGGTGTACCCTGCCTGGCAAGGTGCAGAGGACAGAAGGATATGCTTGACTGGGTGTACCCTGCCTGGCAAGGTGCAGAGGACAGAAGGATATGCTTGACTGGGTGTACCCTGCCTGGCAAGGTGCAGAGGACAGAAGGATATGCTTGACTGGGTGTACCCTGCCTGGCAAGGTGCAGAGGACAAGGATATGCTTGACTGGGTGTACCCTGCCTGGCAAGGTGCAGAGGACAAGGATATGCTTGACTGGGTGTACCCTGCTGGCAAGGTGCAGAGGACAAGGATATGCTTGACTGGGTGTACCCTGCCTGGCAAGGTGCAGAGGACAAGGATATGCTTGACTGGGTGTACCCTGCCTGGCAAGGTGCAGAGGACAGAAGGATATGCTTGACTGGGTGTACCCTGCCTGGCAAGGTGCAGAGGACAAGGATGTGCTTGACTGGGTGTACCCTGCCTGGCAAGGTGCAGAGGACAAGGATATGCTTGACTGGGTGTACCCTGCCTGGCAGGGTGCAGAGGACAAGGATATGCTTGACTGGGTGTACCCTGCCTGGCAAGGTGCAGAGGACAAGGATATGCTTGACTGGGTTTGCCCTGCTTGGCAAGGTGCAGAGGACAAGGATATGCTTGACTGGGTGTACCCTGCCTGGCAAGGTGCAGAGGACAAGGATATGCTTGACTGGGTGTACCCTGCCTGGCAAGGTGCAGAGGACAAGGATATGCTTGACTGGGTGTACCCTGCCTGGCAAGGTGCAGAGGACAAGGATATGCTTGACTGGGTGTACCCTGCCTGGCAAGGTGCAGAGGACAGAAGGATATGCTTGACTGGGTGTACCCTGCCTGGCAAGGTGCAGAGGACAAGGATATGCTTGACTGGGTGTATACCCTGCCTGGCAAGGTGCAGAGGACAGAAGGATATGCTTGACTGGGTGTACCCTGCCTGGCAAGGTGCAGAGGACAAGGATATGCTTGACTGGGTGTACCCTGCCTGGCAAGGTGCAGAGGACGAAGGATATGCTTGACTGGGTGTACCCTGCCTGGCAGGTGCAGAGGACAAGGATATGCTTGACTGGGTGTACCCTGCCTGGCAAGGTGCAGAGGACAAGGATATGCTTGACTGGGTGTACCCTGCCTGGCAGGGTGCAGAGGACAGAAGGATATGCTTGACTGGGTGTACCCTGCCTGGCAGGGTGCAGAGGACAGAAGGATATGCTTGACTGGGTGTACCCTGCCTGGCAAGGTGCAGAGGACAGAAGGATATGCTTGACTGGGTGTACCCTGCCTGGCAAGGTGCAGAGGACAAGGATATGCTTGACTGGGTGTACCCTGCCTGGCAAGGTGCAGAGGACAAGGATATGCTTGACTGGGTGTACCCTGCCTGGCAAGGTGCAGAGGACAGAAGGATATGCTTGACTGGGTGTACCCTGCCTGGCAGGATGCAGAGGACAGAAGGATATGCTTGACTGGGTGTACCCTGCCTGGCAAGGTGCAGAGGACAGAAGGATATGCTTGACTGGGTGTACCCTGCCTGGCAAGGTGCAGAGGACAGAAGGATATGCTTGACTGGGTGTACCCTGCCTGGCAGGTGCAGAGGACAAGGATATGCTTGACTGGGTGTACCCTGCCTGGCAAGGTGCAGAGGACAGAAGGATATGCTTGACTGGGTTACCCTGCCTGGCAAGGTGCAGAGGACAAGGATATGCTTGACTGGGTGTACCCTGCCTGGCAAGGTGCAGAGGACAAGGATATGCTTGACTGGGTGTACCCTGCCTGGCAGGGTGCAGAGGACAGAAGGATATGCTTGACTGGGTGTACCCTGCCTGTGCAGGGTGCAGAGGACTGAAGGATATGCTGACTGGTGTACCCTGCCTGGCAAGGTGCAGAGGACAGAAGGATATGCTTGACTGGGTGTACCCTGCCTGGCAGGGTGCAGAGGACAGAAGGATATGCTTGACTGGGTGTACCCTGCCTGGCAAGGTGCAGAGGACAGAAGGATATGCTTGACTGGGTGTACCCTGCCTGGCAGGGTGCAGACAGGCCAGTGCTGTCTTCAAACACGTCAGCGTATTTGGTTGTGGCTGTCAGCGGTGTATGAATGCACTGCTTCACTGTAACAATAGTTCTGACAGTGTTAGATGTCACTGTCTGATTGATTAATTACTAGTACAGACATTTCTGCTTTAATTGCAAGATATTGTTGCAGAATCATGCAGGGGAAGGTTGCAGGATCATGCAGATTAAGGTTGCAGGATCACACAAACTAAGGTTGCAGGATCACACAGACTAAGGTTGCAGGATCACACAGACTAAGGTTGCAGGATCACACAGACTAAGGTTGCAGGATCACACAGACTAAGGTTGCAGGATCACACAGAGGAAGGTTGCAGGATCACACAGACTAAGGTTGCAGGATCACACAGAGGAAGGTTGCAGGATCACACAGACTAAGGTTGCAGGATCACACAGACTAAGGTTGCAGGATCACACAGAGGAAGTTGCAGGATCACACAGACTAAGGTGCAGGATCACACAGAGGAAGGTTGCAGATCACACAGAGGAGGTTTGCAGGATCACACAGAGGAAGGTTGCAGGATCACACAGACTAAGGTTGCAGGATCACACAGAGGAAGGTTGCAGGATCACACAGAGGAAGGTTGCAGGATCACACAGACTAAGGTTGCAGGATCACACAGAGGAAGGTTGCAGGATCCACAAGGAAGTTGCAGGATCAACACAGAGAAGGTTGCAGGATCACACAGACTAAGGTTGCAGGATCACACAGAGGAAGGTTGCAGGATCACACAGACTAAGGTTGCAGGATCACACAGAGGAAGGTTGCAGGATCACACAGAGGAAGGTTGCAGGATCACACAGAGGAAGGTTGCAGGATCACACAGAGGAAGGTTGCAGGATCACACAGAGGAAGGTTGCAGGATCACACAGACTAAGGTTGCAGGATCACACAGACTAAGGTTGCAGGATCACACAGAGGAAGGTTGCAGGATCACACAGAGGAAGGTTGCAGGATAAACACAGACTAAGGTTGCAGGATCACACAGAGGAGGTTGCAGGA